GCCGCCATTTTGAAAAACTATTTCAAACTTAAAGTCAAGTTCTGCTGGGCCGATTGAACTGAAAGTTGGTAGGAATGATCGACTCATGGTCCTGACAAAGTGTTGTTATTTTTCAGGTCAATCAGAAATCCAATATGGCCACCACTACCGCCATTTTGAAAAACTATTTCAAACTTAAAGTCAAGTTCTGCTGGGCCGATTGAACTGAAAGTTTGTAGGAATGATCGACTCATGGTCCTGACAAAGTGTTGTTATTTTTGGGTCGTTCAGAAATCCAATATGGCCACCACGGCCGCCATTTTGTAAATACCGATTTCAAACTTAAAAAGAAAATTCTAATAGGCTGATCTCACTGAAAATTGGTCTAGGAATGATCAGCTCATGGTCCTGACAAAGTTAAGTTAACATTATACTTAACCATTTTTTACTCAAATTGGTACATATCTCAACAACAAAAATAAATACTGTAGGACTCAGGTGACCATTAAGGCCCATGGGCCTCTTGTATTGAATTAAAACTATGAATTCTGAGCTACCACCTTCTGAATAACTGCATGGATTTTTCATTTTCGTAAAATACATATTAAACTTGTATTATTTTTTCTGTACTACACAATTATCACACTACTGTACCAGTACTGCCAAGGCATATCAACAGAATGTGGATAATTTTGATAAACATTATGGAAATGGAATATGAGTTTGATAAAAAAAAATACTGAAAAAATGGTTGAAAATAATTGAGATTGTCATGTATTTTACATATATGATGATATAGTGATTTAAAAATGTTTATTTAAAATGCTACTGCTGCATGTTCACAGTTATATATTTTACCAGATTTATTGCTTTAATTTGTGATGTGCCTCTTTTCAAGTCAAATGCACCTCACTATTTCATTATCACATGGCATTCATCTCCCCCTCCCCCCTCAAAAAAAGAGAAACCATTCTGGTTACCTCTTCAGCAAATTTGTTATTGTTTTCCTTTAAATTGTACTGTGGGTAGTTGACTACACTGTCAGGTACTCACTCTTTTATATAAATGATAGCCAACCATTGGGCAATATTATAATGACCGTCGGATACAGTACCCGATGACCTACATTTCTATTTTTATTTATTTTTTATTTTAACAAATGACCTGTAATATTATTAGGACAAAGTTAATGATTATAGAATTAATTTTAAATAGGTTATATTTATACCAAGTCAGTATTCGCAGAAGTACATGTACACCTGGTATTATAAACAAATTAAATTTGTAACAGAAATCATTGAAATTTCTTCAGACCCTGAACAATATTAATGTTCCTTATTATTCTGAATATTGTAGATTAACAAATTAAGATCATCGTATATAGAATGCTTATGTTTATATGCTGATGTTTCATTCCTTGTGTGCATTGAGTTGTTCTTTATATGTCTCCAGACATGTACACCTGAGGAAACCAGGTAATATCCTGTGTGTGTTATTGACACATTGTTAGCTGTTGGCTGCCTTTAATTTCTGTGTCAATGGTATGATAACATTTACTAAATCCAAGTTTTTGTTTGGTTGGTTTTATTTTGAATTTTGTTGCTGAGTTTCTTTCGTTTTTATTCACTTTCAGACCCCCCCAGCCTCCCAAACACGTGTCAGTTATAAACACTGCCTCCCCTCCTAACCCCGCCCATCGTGGGCGTAACCAAACAGAAGAAGAACCCTGCTACGCGGTCAGTAACACCATGTACAACATTGCCGCAGCCATTGATCCCACATATAAGCGGCGACAGCATCAAATACACGAGGAAACGGATGTGAAGATACCCATACAGCTAGCGAGTTCACTCCCTACCAGTGGAGGTATTTCACCATACACTCTTCTGCATCACTAACATACAGGGAAACTGTAGTAAAAGGGAACACTGTCTTAGTCACTAATCAAACACCTGTCCGTTAGTTAATGTCCTATATAAAGTACAGTCAGTCTCATTAGGGCCCCACAATCAAAGCATAAAGAATAAAGAAGGAGGATATTTTTTTTAATCCGAGATGACATATTTAGGCTTTGTCTGTTGTCAAATTCCATTGCTTTGAAACAGTAAAATATCTGGAATTTAAATAAAGAAAACATTATATATGAATTTTATTATTTTGTTCCTGAAAATATTTGTTTTAAACATGTCAAAAAGTATTCAAATAATAATAAATAATACACCAGTTTGTTGTTTAATTGCTATCCCGATAAAAATTTCTTTGATTTTTTTTTTTTTGCTTAATTTCATTTCATAAATCAAATTATGACAGTAGTCCTACACATGTGGTGCTAGCTATATACCCGGCAGTCAGTCTCCTAGTTATGTCCAATGTCACTGTTTCTACTACAGAGATTCGAAGTGTAGTCATTAGATACCTTTAGAATCAAAGATTAAGTGAACTGTGATGGCACCATGGATGAATTTAACTTATACGCAAAAAATCATATCAAAAGTGCAGGCTTTGACATGTGTCTTCATTTATAACTGAAAGTCTATTGAAATGTGTCTTTATTAACTGAATAAGTCTATTGAAAGGTGTTTTACCATGTTTTACCTAATAAATACCATGGGCACTTATATAGCAATTCAGGAAAAGTAGAAAGAATGCAGAACCTCTCCAAAGAATTGTCATAGTAGACATATCTTTATGTAAGTTAGTAAATTATGGTGAAGGGTTTGGATGCTAACGGACCAGTAATAAGGATATGGGCACTTATTATGTTGAATACTGTATAAAGATTTTTTTACAAATTTGTTTTTTTGGAGTTCTTATTAAAAATGAGATATAGGCATTAATAAGGTAGCATACCTCCTTAATTAATGAAACACATTTGAATAAAATCTGAGTATAATATAGGTAGATAGCATAGTTCCCATTCAAATATCCCTAGGACTATAACATGTCTATAGTAAGTCTTGAATGTCTATAGAATTTATGACTTAGAAGTTAGATAATCCTCCTGTACTTAAACTCAATAGATAAATAAAACAAAAGATAACTTCTGAACAAGATAACTCTGAATCATCTTTGGCTTGAGTGTTTAATATTTTATCATGTCAAAAGTTAAGCATTGAATTTGTCCTGATTTTTAAAAATAATCCAAAGATTCATCGTGTAGTTTTATGTTGAAACTATACATTTAATATGAATTAAGCCCAAAAGATCAAAACATTTCCTTTCTTAATTTCACCAGTTTTCCCTCACAATATATGCAAGCAATGTTAATGATGGTTTACATTATCAAAATATTTTCGTTCTATGAAATTTTATTATTTTCATTGTTTATCGTATACAGAATGAAATATGTATTTTCCTTCTTCAAATCACTTATGCCCATATAAACAATGAAGCAATATTTGCAACAGCACTTTTTTGCTGACACTATTTGGTGTTGTGTTTTTATTGATGTCACCAACTTACATCAACATGCTGTGGGGATGCACTTGCTGCTAAAAAGTACTGCTTCAATTTGCTTTGCTTTATGTTGAAGCTGTACTGGCTTGATATTACTGGTATTCAGTAGATTTGTGGTTGATCAGTTTGTCTGGCTGCTTAATTAGTTTGTTGTTTAACTGTTCCCACCATTGAATTTTCTTCAGAATTGGATAGGCAATGTGTGTATTACACACATGGTGCCAGTTTAGGATCGGTACTCGGCAGGGCCCTTCCTGACTTTAGCTTGTCAGTGTTCTAGTTGTTTCTTCGGTATTTTATTATACAAAATCAAGAACTGTTCTTGTTTGCTAAGATATACATGTGGCAAAGGAATAGGTCCAATTTTCTCTGTGTGTTATGCACTGATGTGAGTCATGGCAAGTGTAAACTATCAGAACGATGATAACAATATGAGGTACTGAACATTCTCAGTATATAGCTAGCTGATTTTCTTTTGGAAGTTTAGACAGGAGTATATAAACTAGCTAAGTACAATGTATTAAATGATTTGTTGGTACAAATATATTAGTATTGTCTACTGTTTGCACAAGATAGTTTCATTGGGAAAACAAGGAAAAAAACTGCTGATAAAATCAGTGTAGGAGCTAGTGGTTTTGTATTTTTAAAAAAGAAGAAGAAAATAAACTTTTAATGGTTTCGTAGAATGTCCAAACTGTTTGTGTACATGATTATTGCAGAGCTTTGATTGGCTGAGTATTTTTGTGACTGAATACAAATTGCTTAGTTAAAAAGTTGATGTAAACCAGTGTTTCATTGCTTTTGATTTGCTGGCTGGATGCTTCAAAAATTGATTTGATGATCACACTTGAACACGCATAAGGCAAAATAATCTGCAACCAGACAGTGGATTGGTTGAAAACATGTCAACAAGCTTTTGATAGGCTAACAGTTGTTGGACAGAAAATATTTTGCATTGTAACAGGAGAGTTGATTATTTGTAGACATGTAAACAAACTTTTGATAGGATAACTAACAGTGATTTCACAGAAAATGCTTTGCTTTGTAACAAGACATTGGATTGGGTAACTGCTTTGTAACAAGGCAGTGGATTGGGTGACTGCTTTGTAACAAGGCAGTGGATTGGGTGACTGATTTGTAACAAGGCAGTGGATTGGGTGACTGATTTGTAACAAGGCAGTGGATTGGGTGACTGATTTGTAACAAGGCAGTGGATTGGGTGACGATACATAGAGCTTTTGATTGACTAACTGTTGTGTGACAATTAAAGGCTGTTGTTGTGCTAACTGTTGTGTTGTGTAACAGAGATGGATTTGGAATGGGACCTAAATGTAAGGGGCAGTCTCCGACGTCCAAAGGGCACCTGGAACCCAGGCTCCAACTATCACACCACCGGTACCGTATACATCCTCCTTTATGTTTACTCCAGTACCTAAGAATACTTGAGATGCCTTGCAAGTGATAGAAAACTACCTTTATTGTATGCATTATTACTGATATATTCGATACAAAAAGCATCATACAAGATTCATGTGATTAAGTGTCTAGTAATGTTGTTATCAATTACTAACTAGCTAGTATACGGGTATGCAAAATATCAAAAATGAGCAAAGTTTGTTTCATCAAGAAGTGCATGCTATAGTTAATTTAACAGCTTTGAAACAAATGTGCAAAAGTTATCAGACAATACCTATGATCCTGTGTTATGTTTATGGAGTACTTATGTCTGTGCTAGTAAATCATACATTGTTCAAATTTAGCATGGTAAAGTATTATTTTATTTTTTTCAAATCTTGTACACAAGTTTTATAAAATACTGTTAGGAAAGCTAAATTTAAAATGCAACTTCACAGCAAGTTATGTGTTTCAATGAGACAAATAACCTAAGTGCTGTAAGTTCAGTTTATATGTTAGGCTACCATAATCTTTATCTTAGTTGTGAGAAAGATAATATTCAGAATTTTTTCTTTTTCTTACAAGAGATCACCTCATTATATAAGCATGTATTAGGCCTGGTACCTAAAACGAGTTTTATTTCTGAAGCTGAATATCACTCAGAAAACAAATATTATTTTTATATTATATGAAATTGATATTTTCTTTATATAAATCTGATTATTTTATAGATTTATTATTATGTGTGATTTTGGTTACTAGTTTATAGCCATTTATTAGCATGTTACCTTTATATTTTCCCTTTCTTTCCTGAGAAGCTCCAGATTCAATGTTTTTAGAAATAACAACTTCAAATTTGGCATCAAAATTGATTTCTCAGATGTTATAATTACTTACATCAGAAATAATTTAGATAAAGGGCTGAAATTAAGTATTTTTGACATCTGTTAAAATACATTTAATCTGGAGTAATACAAATATAGACTGTGTCAGCATGTTAAGTTTTTAGCCTGGTGTGATGCTCCGATCTAAGTCTCTCCTTCCTGTGTACTAATATGTTTATTGTCTGGAACTTAACATTTTATTGCATGTCATAGCTGTATGTAAAAATTTTGTTAATTTATTTCATCATTTTTAGAAAAATAATCCTTCCTTTCAATAAATCAAGTTCTTTGAAATTAATATGAAAAATATTGCTGAATCAATTAACGGTCACAGATGTTTATTATAATGTGGTAATTGAAACGCAATTTCCAATACCTGCTGTCAAAAACTGACATCATAATTTACGAAGATTTCACGAAAGTCTTAGATTTATTGACACTGCAAAAGAAATATTACACAGAAATAATTGACAAAGTAACCAGTTACACAACAAAAATCATGTTCAAGATTTTTAAATATTATGATTTGAAGTCATTTTTCTTTGCATTTTTTTTTTCTGAATTATAATTAGAGTTTTTGTTTGTTTTTGTTTTCTTCTAGTTTTATAGGATATAACATGTATGATTGTTGGTAAACAAATATAGTATATATATGTCAGATCTGATACTTCCAGACTTGCAAGCTATTTTTATAATGCTTTGGACAGTTTTTTAAGACACAGCTTTTGCATATTTAAAGCATGGCATCTTGCACTCGCACATCACTCTTGTCACAGCTACTAGTGTAGTATATAGGGAATTTTTCAATTTAGAAAAGGTATGCATAACCAGTAAACTTTCCCTTGTTGTAGTGTTCTGTAGCAGATTTCTTTAGAAATACATGTATTGAAATGTTGACACAGATTGAGACAAATGAGATGTCTGTAATACCAAATTGGTAAAGTATGTTGAGCATTTGTCTCGATTCTAATTAAGAATTTGTAACAAAATATTTCATCTTTATCAACCTGGAGACATGCTTCATGAAAACACTCATAGGTATTGATTTTTGCAGTGGAAATACTACATCGATATTGTAGATATAATCTTCAATTTGGATTGTAATTAATTAAATATTTGTTGAGACAAAATTATATTGTTGATTTATGGCAGACACTTCTAAATATTTGTTCCCATATGTATTTGCAGAGGGTTCTTTACAAAGAGATGATAGCTTTACGGACGAGGGGCCGGTCCTGAATCCCTGGCAACCAGTCCAAGGTCAAAGAAGGTCAGCATCGGACCGCAACAAACGGCCAAAGAAATCTGTTGCGTCCACTTCAGCTACTGCTGCGACGACAAAGGGTCAGAAAAACAACAGCAGCTGCAAACAGCAGTAACATGTCTCGGTGAAATTGTTAGTGTCACACTGTATGGCATCATCGATACTCCAGGGGTTACGCTCACTTTCCCTCTCTGCACCCCTGGAATATATCATAGCAAAATCGAAGGCACATGACTAGCTACTTGATTGGTCTCAGGTTAAAAAAACCTTACCAATCGCTTAGGCTGATACCTGTCAATTTTACTGTAACGTGACCAACCGATTCTTTTGATGTACATCAAAGGGTCGAACTAGCTAGTCTTCCTGTCTCATCCACATCCAAGTGTACACTGAGCCTTCATTTTTGTCATGACATATTCCAGGGGTGCAAGGAGCAAAAGTGAGCATAACCCCTGGATATCAAGCAGGACTGCATTAGGACATGAATCTACAGAAGCAATATAAATGGTTAATAGAAAAAAACAAGTGGTGTTGATAGGGGTTGTTGATCCATTTTCTCATATTGGGTCAGGTTGATAATTTAACCGTGATAGGGAAATTCTTCATTGTCAAAAGGCATGGATTATAGTTCATTTATACAATGTCATGATTTGGGGTTTTTTTGTAGGGGAATTTTTCAGCAACATTTTAATGTTACATAAAGTTTGTATTGGTTTTAATTTCTTTTGTGATAATTTTTTCTGCAAACAAAGAATGAAACTCATTTGGAGACAGGAATAATAATTTCAACTGGTTAACAAAACATTTCAAAATATTTAATCTTTTGCTACTTTATTTTTGTCAAACATTTTCAGGTATACCAATATTATGATTATATATATAAAAAAAAGGTTTTTATTAAAAATGCATGTAGTTTTTTTTGCATTTTTGAATTAGTACATAACTGCAAATACATTTGCAGTGTGCTGTGTTATATAATTGGGGTAATGGCAAAATTAAATGTTGGATTTGTGATGAACGCAAATAAGGACCTTTTAAGGGGTGGGGTGATTAGTATACTGGTCAGTATTTCACAATATTTGAAGTTGATTGAAATTAATGCTTAGAATGAACACAATTCCCCTGTATGTTCTAGTGGTTTCAGTTGAACTTTGACATACAGCAATTTCAGAGGTCAAAACTTCCCTGAATTTTTGAGAGTCAAAACATATTTCAAATAGACCTGTTCTTTAACTCATTTATCCCTGAAGACATATTTGAACTCATCCAATTCAAAGGTTGGAATTGTTCATTATGAAATTTCAGGGGTGAATGACTTAAGCCCCATGGAGTCAAAGCTTGTCTTCGGGGGAGGGGGTAAAAATATACTATCAAGGATCTACTGAAAGTTCTGTGTTTCTGATAAAAGCTTCATGTAACATTCCATCCATCCATTAAGTTGTTTAACCCTTTCACTCCTATGTAAATTTAGTAGACTGGACCACACATTGATCTGGATGAGTCCATTATGGTCTACAGTGGGTGAAAGGGTTAAAGAAAGCACTGTTAGCATACATATTTTGCAGTATTCTAGTTTAGGGTTTTTCACACTTTAAATATTGTGCTACATTATGATTAATGTGCTAGGTGATGTTTTTGTATGTAGTTTTCTGTAACATACATGTTTATTGACAGTACACAAAATCAACGATAGGCTTATTTATATAATCCGTTAAAATTTGATATTTGATGTGCTAAAATTTGAGTCCACTAAAATAAGTGCTTTTACAGTAAACAGTAAGAAAGAACTTGAATCTGAGTGATAACAAGATTTCATGAATGCATGGGTTAGAATCCATGGAATTCCATGTATGAATAAAGGCTTGCAGGAAGAAAGTGAATTATTATAGATTATGGATAAAAGTTAAAGTATAGTGTTAAGTATTTGTATAGTGCTGTAAGTGTATTGTTCAAGGCCTACTGTTTATCCATGTTAAAAACCATGACATGCATACATGTATACAAACATTTTCTGAAACTTTGTATTATGTTGTTATATTTATTAGTTGTATAAAGGTTTATGCAGGTAACACGGCCTCATATTACCTGTTTGAAATTTCTTAGTCTCCAGAACTCCAGACAGGTGATTTAACTCAATATTGAGATCGTATAACCTGCATAAAACCTTTACATATATACAAGGAAATGTGTTGCACTGAGTAACCTAATTAAAGAGATTCCTTGGTCAGCACTTATTTATAATATGAATGTTTTTGAATTTGCAAATAATTTCTTATGATCTATAGATGTGAAATAATTATGCAAAAATAAGGGTAATTTTTACAGATAAATTATAACAAGTAAATTTCAGGATTTTAGCTCTCAGAGGTTAAGTTTTTGTTGCTGTTTTGAGGACATTTCCTTTCATTGAATTCTTATATTATGATGTTAATATTTGACATGGAGGTTTTGGTAGGTTCAAATACTGTTTCATTGCAAAAAAAATATAGTATTCTTCAATTAAATAGAAAAGAAAATGACCTCTTCTAGATTTCACATTTTAGACCTGATCTCAATATTAGAGGTTTGGTTAAAGTTTTAAAGTGGCTTGCCATCATGAGTCATAATGTATTAATTAGCAGGCAAGCATTCAGTGGCTTAGATAATGTTGCCCCTTTGTTTGTTCAGTATTTGGATAATTTCAAATGTACATTATTTTATGGTTTGTGAAATTTCCATCTCGATCAATATGTATTTTCCCCATATGTTTTCATCATATAATAAAACAAAAAATCCCAGAGCAATATTTTGAAAGGAAACTGATAGGTTTCTATTTAATATTGACTATAAATTACCAAAATATGAAACCTTACCTGAACAATATAAAAACACACTGCACATTGCAGATATGTACAAAATGATTCCTGGCCAGGATTGAAAACCCGTAGTTTTTAGACAAGAGTACTCTGTCAATTGGAGTTATTAACATTTTTATTCACTGTTCATATGCTTATATTTACTGCCTGCAAAGGCAAATAGCAATCATAGTGATGAAGTAGTCAAACTTGTTAAATTTTCTTTTCTTTTTTTTCTTCAGTTTGACAAAGTGTCATATCACTTTGTATATTTAAATCAATTTAACCACATATGATACAAAGAACTGTTGCATACTAGCTTAAGTGTTAGTATTCTGAATACAATATATGAATGTATGAAGAATTAATGATACAAAGCCTCATACTCATCATATTTCCAAGTGCTATTCATTATAGATTTCGAAAATAAGCCCATTGTTTATGAGGCCTATTGCTTGGATTGACATCTTGTAATAATATCTTGTATTTTTGAAATCAGAACTTTATATTTTTGAAAATGATTCATTCTTAGTGCCTGTTCAGAATGTGAAGCTTTAGTGTCACAATTTCAAATATTTTGTTTAATATTTTCTATACAAGTATCTATTGGTATTTATGCAATTTATTCTTCATTCAAGCCTCAATATTAGCAATTTAGTTCAGAAGGAAGTGTTTTTTTATCTCACCAGCCATTAAGTTCCTTTGAAAGTATGCTATGGTGCAGTGTCTGTCTGTCCATTCTTTGTCTGATATCAAACTCTTTATTCAAACCACTTCTCCTAAAGATACATAAGACATAGAGAATTGATTGTTGGCCTGTATCTTCTTGCTTAGTTGATAGTCTCACCAAGTTTGTTCAAGATCCAGTATATATGAATTTGACTTTCTTTCTTGACCATATGGGTAACTAACAGTACGAGTAGTGATATATTGTACAAGTTTGCTTTCTATAATGTTTGTGTAAAGATCCCCGTACCACTGCCTAAAACTGTCACAACCCATTGAAAACTGTATGACTATAGCTTTGATCAATCATTTCTGAAAGCGAACTACCTTGAGGGGAATGTCATCAAAAAATAATAATGATGAAATGAACAATATATAATCAGGAACAGTGTTCTGAGTGTAAAATTTCAGCAGGCTAGACCAGAATTCAAACTGTGGACTTCAGATTGTTCTATCGCTCTTACTGAATGAGCTACGAGTTTCCTGGTCCAACTGTGCTACAGTTATATTCAAAACGAAATTAAGGGGAGGTAACTGTATAAGGAAGCCCATAATGTAGTGGGACAGGGATCCTTAAGGACATTTTCTTTGACCTATATTAAGGGATGCATACATGATATGCTTTCCAAAACTATTCAGTAAAAGGTGAGAGATACAGGCCCTTTGGAACACTTTGAAACTATTCAGATGAATCTATCCATAAATTTATCACAAAAATTGTCATGAGTTGTTTCCCTTTGATGGCCTTGTTCTCGGTGACTGTACTAAACACTTGAGTTGATCCGTCCAGTCAACACTTTAGCAAGTTTCCAGATATTATTCATGAAATAAACAAGTTGGTAAAAATCATTCTGATGTTAAATGCAACATACTTTTTGGTTTTAGATGGCCACTCTATCATTTTGAAAAATTCCTTCTTGTATGATATGGGACATATCAAATTTTAATTTTAGTTATTGATTGTGACTTCAGATATTTGGACTTAACCTTGGTTGTATTACTGTAGTTGTTGCCAGATTTGAATGTGGGGGGGGGGGGGGGGGGGGTCAAATTTGGGTATAAAAGTGTGATCACATGTGATACAGTTATTGTATAGAGTTTGAGTAATACAATACTGGTTAGTGGGTTGTATGTGTAACTTTTAATATGGATGTTTAACACTTCTCCTGGTTGTTTGACAATAATCTTGGTTGTACATTGTATTAACATGGACACAATCCTTGGTAGATAAATCTGGCTGTTTAGCTCTTGTTAATGTTATAATAGCTGTTTAAGGAAACTAATAAACTGTGCTTGTTTGACATCGGTAATGCTACATTGCTTGTTTCGGTAACCATAGTTGCATTCTGTCTAACTTTGATGTTTTCAAATTGGTTCAGTAATCTTGGCAACTGTGTATCATAGTTATTTGTCTCCGTTAGTGCTATTGGGCAATCTGGAACTTAATTATTAAAACATTCTTCACACATGTGTACCTTGTCTCCATTAGTGCTATTGGGCGATCTGGAACTTAATAATTAAAACATTCTTCACACATGTGTACCTTGTCTCCATTAGTGCTATAGGGCGATCTGGAACTTAATCATTTAAACATTCTTCACACATGTGTACCTTGTCTCCATTAGTGCTATTGGGCGATCTGGAACTTAATAATCAAAACATTCTTCACACATGTGTACCTTGCCTCCATTAGTGCTATAGGGCGATCTGGAACTTAATAATTAAAACATTCTTCACACATGTTTACCTTGCCTCCATTAGTGCTATTGGGCGATCTGGAACTTAATAATTAAAACATTCTTCACACATGTTTACCTTGCCTCCATTAGTGCTATTGGGCGATCTGGAACTTAATAATAAAAACATTCTTCACACATGTGTACCTTGTCTCCATTAGTGCTATTGTGCGATCTGGAACTTAATCATTTAAACATTCTTCACACATGTGTACCTTGTCTCCATTAGTGCTATAGGGCGATCTGGAACTTAATCATTTAAACATTCTTCACATATGTGTACCTTGTCTCCATTAGTGCTATAGGGCGATATGGAACTTAATAATTTAAACATTCTTCACACATGTGTACCTTGCCTCCATTATTGCTATAGGGCGATCTGGAACTTAATCATTTAAACATTCTTCACACATGTGTACCTTTGTTGATGTAACATCCCAAGTTTTTCTCATCTGTATATATCATTATAAGAGGATCATTGCAAATAAGAAAGATAAATACTTAAATTTCTTTTGCATTGAAAACTTGTTCTTAATTCCTTTACAAGATATGATATGCTTTTTA